ATATTAATTGGAGGATAATGCCATTTTCGCCAGAGGGCTCGTAGGCCATTCAAACGAGGACTACTTTCTGGGCGATTTTTGGAAAAAATTTCCCTTGGTCCCCCCTTTAAACTTTTTCAGAAAATGCGGGTTTTTGGTGACCATGCGAAAATTGCCATAACTTGGCAATTCGGGCACTCTTTGAGCCACTTTTTGCGCCAAAATCTTGCCCAGTCTTTGGACTTTAAGAGTATACTATATAGAGGATAATGCCATTTCCACCAGAGTGCTTTTAGCCCTTTCAAACGAGGGCTACTTTTCGAGCGATTTTTGAGAAATTTCCCCTGGTCCCAAATTTAAACGTTTTCAGAAAATACGGGTTTTGGGTGACCTTGCAAAAATTGCCATAACTTGGCCATTCGGGTACTTTTGAAGCCGTTGTTAGTGCCAAAATCATCTGCAGTCTTTGCACTTCAAGTGCATACTAATTGGAGGATAATGCCATTTGCGCCAGAGCACTTTTAGCCGTTTCAAACGAGGCCTACTTTTTGGGCGAGTTTTGAAACATTTCCCTTGGTCCCCCCTTTGCACTTTTTCAGAAAATGCGGGTTTTGGGTGACCTTGCGATAATTGCCATAACTTGCCCATTCGGACACTTTTGGAGCCGCTGTTTGCGCCAAAATCTTGTCCAGTCTTTGCACTTTAAGTGCATTTTAATTAGACTATAATTCAACTTGCGCCAAAGTGCTTTTGGGCCTTTCAAGCAAGGACTACTTTTCTGGCGATTTTTGAAAAATTTCCCTTGGTCGCCCCTTTCCTCTTTTTCAGAAAAATGTTGGTTTAGGGTGACCTTGCCAAATTTGCCATAACTCTGCCATTCGGTCACTTTTGGAGCCGCGTTCTGCCGTCTCTAGTCTACACGCTATAAGGGCATACTTATAAAAGGATAATGCCATTTGCCTCAGCGTTTTTTTGGGCTTCTTAAGCGAGGGCTCTTTTTTGGGCGATTTTTGAAAAATTTCCCTTCGTGTCCCCTTTGCTCTTTTTTTAGAAAATGCGGGTTTTGGGTGACCTTGCCTAAATTGCCATAACTTGGCCATTCGGGCCCTTTTGGAGCCGCTTTTTGCGCCAAAATCTTTTCCAGTGTTTGCACTATATATGCATACTAATTAGAGGATAATGCCATTTGCGCCAGAGTGCTTTTGCGCCTTTAAGGCGAGGGCATCTTTTTGGGCGATTTTTGAAAAATCTCTATTGGGCCCCCTTTTGCACTTTTTAAGAAAATGCGGGTTTTAAGTGACCTTGCGAAAATTGTTATAACTTGGCCATTCGGGCGCTTTTGGAGCCGGTGTTTGCGCCCAAACCTTGTCCAGTCTTTGCACTTTAATTCATACTAATTAGAGGATAATGTTGTTTCCGCCAGAGTGCTTTTGAGAATTTTAAGCGAAGGCTACTTTTTAGGCCATTTTTGAAAAATTTCCCTTGGTCCCCTCTTTGCACTTTTTCAGAAAATGCGGGTTTGGGTGACCTGGCGAAAATTGCCATATCTTGGCCATTCGGGCACTTTTGGAGCCGTTTTGTGCGCCAAAATCTTGTCCAGTCTTTGCACTTTTAGTGCATACTAATTAGAGGATATTGCCATTTGCGCCAGTGTGCTTTTGGGCCTATTCAGGGAGGGCATGTTTTTGGGCGATTTTTGAAAAATTTCTCTTGGTCTCCCCTTTGCACTTTTTCTGAAAATGCAGGTTTTGGGTGACCTTCCGAAAATTGCCATAACTTCGTTATTCGGGCCCTTTTTGAGCGGCTGTTTGCTCCTAAATCTTTTCTAGTCTTTGCACTTTAAGTGGATACTAATTAGAGGATAATGCCATTTGCGCCAGTGTGCTTTTGGGCCTTTTCAGCGAGGGCATCTTTTTGGGCGATTTTTGAAAAATTTCCTTTGGTCCCCCCTTTGCACTTTTTCAGAAAATGCGGGTTTTGGGAGACCTTGCCAAAATTGCCATAACTTGGTCATTCGGGAACTTTTGGAGCCGCTTTTTTGCCCCAAACTCTTCTTCAGTCTTTGCCCTTTAAGTGCATACTAATTAGAGGATAATGCCATTTGCACAAGTGTGCTTTTGGGCCTTTCAAACAAGGTCTACTTTTTGGAAGATTTTTGAAAAATTTTCCTTGGTCCCCCCGTTCCTTTTTTTTAGAAAATGCGAGTTTTGAATGACCTCGCGAAAATTGCCATAACTTGGCCATTCGGGCTCTTTTGGAGCCGCCTTCTGCGCTAAAATCGTCTCCAGTCTTTGCACTTTAAGCGCATACTAGTTCGCGGATAATGCCATTTGCGCCAGAGTGCTTTTGGGCCTTTCAAACGAAGGCTTCTTTTTGGGCGATTTTTGAAAAATTTCCCTTGGTCCCCCCTTTGCACTTTTTCAGAAAATGCGGGTTTTGGGTGAACTTGCGAAAAATGCCTTAACTTGGCCGTTCGGGCACTTTTGGAGCCGCTTTTTTAAACAAAAATCTTCTGCAGGTCTTGCCCTTTAAGTGCATACTAAATAGAGGTTAATGCCATTTGCGCAAGTGTGCTTCTGGGCCTTTCAAACGAGGTCTACTTTTTGGGCGATATTTGAAAAATTTTTCTTGGTCCCCCCTTTGCACTTTTTAAGAAAATGCGGGTTTAGGATGACCTTTCAAAAATTGCCATACCTCTAACATTCGGGCACTTTTGGAGCCGCCTTCTGCGCTTAAATCGTCTCCAGTTTTTTCACTTTAAGTGCATACTAGTTCGGGGATAATGCCGTTTGCGCCAGAGTGCTTTTGGGCCTTTCAAACGAAGGCTTCTTTTTGGGCGATTTTTGAAAAATTTCCCTTGGTCCCCCCTTTGCACTTTTTCAGAAAATGCGGGTTTTGGGTGACCTTGCGAAAATTGCCATAACTTGGCAATTCGGGTACTTTTGAAGCCGCATACTAATTAGAGAATAATTCGATTTGGTCTAGAGTGCTTTTGGGACTTTGAGGCGAGGGCATCTTATTGGGCGATTTTGAAAAATTTCCCTTGGTCCCTCTTCTCACTTTTTCAGAAAATGCGGGTTTTGTGTGAACTTGCGAAAATTGCCTTAACTTGGCCGTTCGGGCACTTTTGGAGTGGCTTTTTTAAACAAAAATCTTCTGCAGGTTTTGCCCTTTAAGTGCATACCAAATAGAGGTTAATGCCATTTGCGCAAGTGTGCTTTTGGGCCTTTCAAACGAGGGCTACTTTTTGGGCGATATTTGAAAAATTTTTCTTGGTCCCCCCTTTGCACTTTTTAAGAAAATGCGGGTTTAGGGTGACCTTGCAAAATTGCCATACCTCTGCCATTCAGGCACTTTTGGAGCCGCCTTCTGCGCTAAAATCGTCTCCAGTTTTTGCACTTTAAGTGCATACTAGTTCGGGGATAATGCCATTTGCGCCAGAGTGCTTTTGGACCTTTCAAACGAGGGCTACTTTTTGGGCGATCTTCGAAAAATTTCCTTGGGACCCTTCTTTGTACTTTTTTAGAAAATGCAGCTTTTGGGTGACCTTGCCAAAATTGCCATAACTTGGTTGTTCGAGCACTTTTGGGGCCGCTGTTTTCGCCAAAATCTTCTCCCGTCTTGGCGCTATAAGAGCATGCTAATAAGAGGATAATGCCATTTGCCTCAGAGTTTTTTTGCGCTTTTTAAGCGAGGGCTACTGTTGACCTTGCAAAAATTGTTGCAACTTGGCCATTCGCGCACTTTTGGAGCCCCTGTTGGCGCCAAAATGCTCTCCAGTTTTTGCACTTTAAGTGCATTCTAATTAAAGGATAATGCCATTGGCGCGAGAGTGGTTATGGGCCTTTTAAGCGAAGGCTACCTTTCGGGGGATTTTTGAAAAATTTCCCTTGGTCCCCCCTTTGCACATTTTCAGAAAATGTGGGTTTTGGGTGACCTTGCAAAAATTGCCATAACTTGGTTATTCGGGCACTTTTGGAGCCGCGTTTTGCCCCAAAATCTTTTCTAGTTTTTGCACCTTAAGAGCATACTATATGGAGGATAATGCCATTTGTGCTAGAGTGCTTCTAAGGCTTTCAAATGAGGGCTACGTTTTAGGCGATTTTTGAAAAATTTCCCTTGGTCCCCCCTTTGCACTTTTTCAGAAAATGCGGGTTTTGGGTGACTTTGCGAGAATTGCCATAACTTGGCCATTCGGGCACTTTTAAAGCCGCTATTTGCACCAAAATCTTTTCCAGTCTTTGCCCTTTAAGTGCATACAAATTAGAGAATAATGCCATTTCCTTCAGAGTTTTATTGGGCTTTTTAAGCAAGGGCTACTTTTTACGCGATTTTTGAAAAATTTCTCTTCATCCCCCTTTTCCACTTTTCCAGAAATTGCGGGTTTTGGGTGACCTTGCGATAATTGCCATAACTTGCCCATTCGGACACTTCCTTCAATTCAGGATTTCGGAAAGCTGAAATCTTGAATTCAGGATTTTGGAAAGCTGAAATCTCAAAATCGGCAAAAATCTTGAAATCAGGATTTTGGAAAGCTAAAATCTCGAAATTGGCCAAAATCTTGAATTGAAGATATTGGAAAGCTAAAATCTTCAACTGGCCCAAAATCTTGAATACAGGATTTTGGAAGGCTAAAATCTTGAAATCGGTCAAAATCTAGAATTCAGGATTTTGGAAAGCTAAAATCTTGAACTCAGCAAAAATCTTGAATTAAGGATTTTGGGAAGCTAAAATCTTCAAATCGGCCAAAATCTTGAAATCAGGACTCTCGAAAGCTAAAATCTTGAAATCGGCCAAAACCTTAAATTAAGGATATTGGAAAGCTAAAATCTTGAAATCGGCCGAGATCTTCAATTCAGGATATTGGAAAGCATAAATCGTAAAGTCGGCTAAAATCTTGAATTCAGGATTCTGGAAAGCTAAAATCTTCAAATCGGCCAAAATCTTGAATTCAGGATTTTGTAAACCTAAAAATTTTTACTCGGCCAAAATGTTGAATTCAGGATTTTGGAAAGCTAAAATCATGAAATCACCCAAATCTTGAATTCAGGATTTTGGAAAGCCAAAATCTTGAAATTGGCCAAAATCTTGAATTCAGGATTTTGGAAAGGTAGAATCTTGAAATCGGTCAAAATCTTGAATTCAGTATTTTGGAAGGCTAAAATCTTGAAATCGGAAAAAATCTACAATTCAGGATTTTGGAAACCTAAAATCTTGAACTCAGCCAAAATCTTGAATTCAGGATTTTGGAAAGCTAAATTCTTAAACTCAGCCAAAATCTTGAATTCAGGATTTTGGAAGCTAAAATCTTGAAATCGGCCAAAATCTTGAACTCAGGATTTTGGAAAGCTAAAATCTTGAAATCGGCCAAAATCTTGAATTCAGGATTTTGGAAACCTAAAACCTTGAAATCGGCCAAAATCTTGAATTCAGTATTTTGGAAAGGTCAAATCATGAAATCGGCGAAAATCTTGACTTCTCTGTTTGGAAACCTAAAACCTTGAAATTGGGCAAAATCTTGAATTCAGGATTTTCGAGAGCTAAAATCTTGAAATCGGAAACAATCTTCAATTCAGGATTTTGGAAACCAAAAATGTTGAACTCGGCCAAAATCTAGAATTCAGGATTTTGGAAAGCTAAAATCTTGAAATCGGAAAAAATCTTCAATTCAGGATTTTGGAAACCTAACATCTTGAACTCGGCCAAAATCTTGAATTCAGGATTTTGGAAAGCTAAAATATTAAAACCGGCCAAAATATTGAATTCAGGATTTTGGAAAGCCAAGATCTTATAATCGGCCAAGATCTTGAAATTCAGTATTTTGGAAAGGTAAAATCTTGAAATCGGCCAAAATCTTGAATTCAGGATTTGGAAAGCTAAAATCTTGAATTCGGCCAAAATCTTGCATTCAGGATTTTGGAAAGCTAAGATTTTGAAATCGGCCAAGATCTTGAATTCAGTATTTTGGAAAGGTTAAATCTTCAAATCGGCGAAAATCTTGAATTCTTTCCTTGGAAACTTAAAACCTTGAAATCGCTCAAAATCTTGAAATCGCCGAAAATCTTGAATTAAGGATTTTGGAAAACTAAAATCTTGAAATCGCCGAAAATCTTGAATTAAGGATTTTTGAAAGCTAAAACCTAGAAATCGGCCAAAATCTTGAATTTAGGATTTTGGAAACCTAAAATCTTGACCTTAGCCAAAATCTTAAATTCAGGATTTTGGAAAGGTAAAATGGTGAAATAGGAAAAAATCTTCAATTCAGGATTTTGGAAACCTAAAATCTTGAACTCAGCTAAAATCTTGACTTCAGGATTTTGGAAAGCTAAAATCTTAAACTCACCCAAAATCTTGAGTACAGGATTTTGGAAAGCTAAAACCTTCAAATCGGCCAAAATCTTGAATTCAGGATTTTGGAAAGCTAAAACCTTGAAATCGGCCAAAATCTTGAATTCAGGATTTTGGAAAGCTAAAATCTTGAAATTGGCCAAAATCTTGAATTCAGGATTTTGGAAAGCTAAAACCTTGAAATCGGCCAAAATCTTGAATTCAGGATTTTGGAAAGCTAAAATCTTGAAATCGGAAAAAATCTTCAATTCAGGATTTTGGAAAGCTAAAATCTTGAAATCGGCCAAAATCTTGAATTTAGGATTTTAGAAACCTAAAATCTTGAACTTAGCCAAAATCTTAAATTCAACATTTTGGAAACCTAAAATCTTCAATTCAGCCAAAATCTTGAAGTCCGGATTTAGGAAAGCTAAAATCTTAAACTCAGCCAAAATCTTGAATTCAGGATTTTGGAAGCTAAAATCTTTAAATCGGCCAAAATCTTGAATTCAGGATTTTGGAAAGCTAAAACCTTGAAATCGGCAAAATCTTGAATTCAGGATTTTGGAAACCTAAAGTCTTGAACTGAGCCAAAATCTTGAATTCAGGGTTTTGGAAAGCTAAAATCTTGAAATCGGAAAAAATCTTCAAATCAGGATTTGGGAAACCTAAAATCATGAACTCAGCCAAAATCTTAAATTCAGGATTTTGGAAAGCTAAAATCTCAAACTCAGGCAAAATTTTGAATTCAGGATTTTGCAGAGTAAAATCTTCAAATCGGCCGAAATCTTGAATTCAGGATTTTGGAAACCTAAACTCTTGAACTGAGCCAAAATCTTGAATTCAGGGTTTTGGAAAGCTAAAATCTTGAAATTTTAAAAAATCTTCAAATCAGGATTTGGGAATCCTAAAATCATGAACTCAGCCAAAATCTTAAATTCAGGATTTTGGAAAGCTAAAATCTTACACTCAGGCAAAATTTTGAATTCCGGATTTTGGAGAGTAAAATCTTGAAATCGGCCGAAATCTTGAATTCAGGATTTTGGAAAGCTACAACCTTGAAATCGGCCAAGATCTTGAATTCAGGATTTTCGAAAGCTAAAACTTTAAAATCGGCAAAATCTTGAATTCAGGATTTTGGAAAGCTAAAATCTTGAAATCGGCCAAAATCTTCCATTCAGGATTTTGGAAAGCTAAGATCTTTAAATCGGCCAAGATCTTGAAATTCAGTATTTTGGAAAGCTAAAATCTTGAAATCCTAAAAAAATCTGCAATTCAGGATTTTGGAAACCTAAAATCTTGAACTCGGCCAAAATCTTGAATTCAGGATTTTGTAAAGCTAAAATCTTGAAATCGGCCAAAATATTGAATTCAGGATTGTGGAAAGCTAAGACCTTGAAATCGGCCAAAATCTTGAATTCAGGATTTTGTAAACCTAAAATCTTGAACTTAGCCAAAATCTTAAATTCAGCATTTTGGAAAGGTAAAATGGTGAAATAGGAAAAAATCTTCAATTGAGGATTTTGGAAACCTAAAGTCTTGAACTCCGCCGAAATCTTGCCTTCAGGATTTTGGAAAGCTAAATCTTAAACTCAGCCAAAATCTTGAATACAGGATATTGGAAAGCCAAAATCTTCAAACCGGCCATAATCTTGAAATCAGGATTTTGGAAAGCTAAAACCTTGAAATCGGCCAAAGTCTTGAATTCAGGATTTTGGAAAGCTAAAACCTTGAAATCGGCCAAAATCTTGAATTCAGGATTTTGGAAAGCTAAAATCTTGAAATCGGAAAAAATCTTCAATTCAGGATTTCTGACACCTAAAATCTTCAACTCAGCCAAAATCCTGAATTCAGGATTTTTTAAAGCTAAAATCTTCAAATCGGCCAAAATCTTGAAATCAGGATTTTGGAAAGCTAAAATCTTGAAATCGGCCAAAATTTTAAATTCGGGATTTTGGAAAGCTAAAATCTTCAAACCGGAAAACATCTTTAATTCAGGATTTGGGAAACCTAAAATCTTGAAGTGAGCCAGAATCTTGAATTCAGGATTTTGGAAAGCTAAAATCTTAAACTCAGCCAAAATCTTTTAATTCAGGATTTTGGAGAGCTAAAATCTTGAAATCCGCCAAAATCTTGAGTTAAGGATTTTTGAAAGCTAAAATCTTGAAATCGGCCAGAATCTTGAATTCAGGATTTTGGAAACGTACAACCTTGAAATCGGCCAAAATCTTAAATTCAGGATTTTGGAAAGCTAAAACCTTGAAATCGGCAAAATCTTGAATTCAGGATTTTGGAAACCTAAAATCTTGAACTCAGCCAAAATCTTGAATTCAGGATTTTGGAAAGCTAAAATCTTGAAATCGGAAAAAATCTTCATATCAGGATTTGGGAAACCTAAAATCTTGAACTCAGCCAAAATCTTAAATTCAGGATTTTGGAAAGCTAAAATCTTACACTCAGCCAAAATTTTGAATTCAGGATTTTGGAGAGCTAAAATCTTGAAATCGGCCAAAATCTTGAGTTTAGGATTTTGGAAAGCTAAAATATTGAAATCGGCAAAATGTTGAATTCAGGATTTTGGAAACCTACAACCTTGAAATCAGCGAAAATCTTGAATTCAGTATTTCTGAAAGCTGCAACCTTGAAATCGGCAAAATCTCGAATTCAGGATTTTGGAAACCTAAAATCTTGAACTCAGCCAAAATCTTGAAATTCAGCATTTTGGAAAGCTAAAATCTTAAATTCAGCAAAAAAGTTGAGTTCAGGATTAAGGAGAGCTTAAATCTTGAAATCGGCCAAAATCTTGAATTCAGGAAATTTTAAAGCTAAAATCTTGAAATCGGCCAAAACCTTCAATTCGGGATTTTGGAAAGCTAAAACCTTGAAATAGGCCAAAATCTTGAATTCAGTATTTTGTAAAGGTCAAATCTTGAAATCGGCGAAAATCTTCAATTCAGGATTTTGTAAACCTAAAATCTTGAACTCAGCCAAAATCATGAATTCAGGATTTTGGAATGCTAAGATATTGAAATGGGCCAAAATCTTGAAATCACGATTTTGGAAAGCTAAAATCTTGAACTCAGCCAAAATGTTAAATTCAGGATATTGGGGAGCTAAAATCTTGAAATCGGCCAAAATCTTGAATTGAGGATTTTGGAAAGCTAAGATCTTGAAATCGGCCAAGATCTTGAATTCAGTATTTTTGAAACGTCAAATCTTGAAATCGACCAAATTCTTGAATTCTTTCCTTGGAAACTTAAAACCTTTAAATCGCCCAAAATCTTGAATTCAGGATTTTGGAAAACTAAAACCTTGAAATCGGCCAAAACCTTGAATTCAGGATTTTGGAAAGCCAAAACCTTGAAATCGCCCAAAATCTTGAATTCAGCATTTTGGAAACCTAAGATCTTGAACTCAGCCAAAATCTTGAATTCAGCATTTTGGAAAGGTAAAATCTTGAAATCGGAAAAAATCTTCAATTCAGGATCTTGGAAACCTAAAATCTTGAACTCAGCCAAAATCTTGACTTGAGGATTTTGGAAAGCTAAAATCTTAAAATCGGCCAAAACCTCGAATTCAGGATTTTGGAAAGCGAAAATCTTGAAATCGGCAAACTCTTGAATTCAGGATTTTGGAAAGCTACAACCTTCAAATCGGCGAAAATCTTGGGAACCTAAATCTTTGGAAACCTGGATTTTGGAAACCTAAAACCTTGAAAAGGGCAAAATCTTGAATTTATGATTTTGGAAACCTAAAACCTTGAAAACGGCAAAATCTTGAATTTATGATTTTGGAAACCTAAAACCTTGAAATAGGCCAAAATCTTGAATTCAGGATTTTGGAAACCTAAAACCTTGAAATCGGCCAAAATCTTGAATTCAGCATTTTGGAAAGGTAAAATATTGAAATCGGAACAAATCTTCAATTCAGGATTTTGGAAAGCTAAAACCTTGAAATCGGCCAAAGTCTTGAATTCAGGATTTTGGAAAGCTAAAACCTTGAAATCGGCCAAAATCTTGAATTCAGGATTTTGGAAAGCTAAAATTTTCAAATCGGCGAGAATCTTGAATTCTTTGTTTGGAAACCTAAAACATTGAAATTGGCCAAAATCTTGAATTCAGGATTTTGGAAAGCTAAAATCTTGAAATCGGAAAAAATCTTCAATTCAGGATTTTGGAAACCTAACATCTTGAACTCGGCCAAAATCTTGAATTCAGGATTTTGGAAAGCTAAAATCTTGAAATCATGATTTTGGAAAACTAAAATCTTGAACTCAGATAAAATCTTAAATTCAGAATTTTCGAAAGCTAAAATCTTGAAATCGGCCAAAATATTGAATTCAGGATTTTGGAAAACTAAGATCTTGAAATTGGCCAAGATCTTGAATTCAGTATTTTGGAAAGGACAAATCTTGAAATCGGCCAAAATCTTGAACTCAGGATTTTGGAATCCTTAAATCTTGAACTCAGCCAAAATCTTGAATTCAGGATTTTGGAAAGCTAAAATCTTAAACTCAGCCAAAATCTTTCAATTCAGGATTTTGGAGAGCTAAAATCTTCAAATCCGCCAAAATCTTGAGTTCAGGATTTTGGAAAGCTAAAATCTTGATATCGGCCAGAATCTTGAAATCAGGATTTTGGAAAGCTAAAATCTTGAAATCGGCCAAGATCTTGAATTCAGGATTTTGGAAAGCTCAAATCCGTAAATCGGCCAAAATCTTGAATTCAGGATTTTGGAAAGCTAAAATCTTTAAAAGGGCGAAAATCTTGAATTCAGGATTTTGGAAAGCTAAAATCTTGAACTCGGCCAAGGTCTTGAATTCAGGATTATGGAAAGCTAAAATCTTGAAATCGGCCAGAATCTTGAATTCAGGATTTTGGAAAGCTAAAATCTTGATATCGGCAAAAATCTTGAATTCAGGATTTTGGAAAGCTAAAATCTTGAAATCGACCAAAATCTTGAATTCCGGATTTTGGAAAGCTAAAATATTGAAATCGGTCAAAATCTTGAATTTAGGATTGTGGAAAGCTAAAATCTTGAAATCGGCCAAAATCTTGAATTCAGGATTTTGGAAAGCTAAAATCCGTAGATCAACCAAAATCTTGAATTCAGGATTTTGGAAAGAAAAAATCTTTAAAAGGGCGAAAATCTCTAATTCAGGATTTTGGAAGGCTAAAATCTTAAAATCGGCCAAAATCGTGAATTCACGATTTTGGAAAGCTAAAATCTTGAAATCGGCCAAAATCTTGAATTCAGGATTTTGGAAAGCTAAAATCTTGAACTCTGCCAAGAT